TTCAGAAGCACAGTTCAAAACACTGGTGATCAGGATGCTCACAGAACTGGTTGACTTTCGTCACAAATTAGAGGAATATGTGAAGGTTAAACTAATTGAAATGAATGGTAATGCACAGAAAACCAATAGTAACGGAAAGGAAACTGGGACTCAAATTAAGGAAGTAGACCAGAAGGAAGGAAAAATGACCAAACAGAAAAGAATGAAGAAACAAGAATTCAAAAAATGAGGAGAGGCTTAGGAACCTCCAGGACATCTTTAAATGCTCCAACATCCGAATTACAGGAGTACCAGAAGGGGAAGAGGAAGTCTCAAGTGGAAACCTTATTTGAACAAATAATAAAGGAGAATTTCCCCATTCTGGCAAAGGAAATATACTTCCAGGAAATCCAGGAAGCTCAGAGAGTCCCAAAGAAGTTGGACCCAAGAAGGAACACACCAAGGCACATCATCATTACATTAGCCAAGATTAAAATGAAGAAGAGAATCCTAGAAGCAGCAAGAGATAAGGGGACTGTCACCATAAAGGAGTTCCTATCAGACTGTCAGCGGACTTCTCAAAAGAGATCTTACAGGCAAGAAGGGGTTGGAAAGAGGTATTCCAAGTCATGAAATCCAAAGACCTACATCCAAGATTGCTCTATCCAGCAAAGCTTTCATCTAGAATGGAAGGGCAGATAAAGTGGTTCTCAGATAAGATCAAATTCAAGGTGTTCATCATCACCAAGCCCTTATTATATGAAATGTTAAAGGGACTTAGCTAAGAAAAAGAAGATAAAAAAGATGAACAGTGAAAGGACAGCAAACTTACAGCTATCAACAACCACACCTAAAACAAAAGCAAACTAAGAGGACAGCTAGATCAGGAGTGGAAACATAGAAATGAAGATCTCAAGGAGGGTTAGCAACAGAGGAGTGGGAGGAGGAGAAGGGGGGAGAAGGTACAGAAAATAAGTAGCATAGACAGTAGATAGAAAATAGATGGGGGGAAGGTAAGAATAGTAGGGGAAATACAGAATTTAAAGAACTTGAGACATGTGTTCATGAACTGAAGTGGGGGAGAATGATGGGGGAGGGTGTCCAGGGTGGAGGGGAATAGAGGAGGCGAAAATAGAAAAAATGTAATGGCATAATCAATAAAAAAGGAAACAATAAAAATAAAAAATAGGGAAGTTTTCCATCATTACTTTTTCAATTATAGTTTTTATCCCTTGCTCTTCTTCTATTTCTGATATTCTTGCTATTCAGATATTATTACATTTTATATTGTCTTGCATTTCTCTTAATCCCTCTTCATTCTTTCTGAGCCTCTTTTCCTTTTCTTGGTCTTTCTGTGAGTTTTTTTCTACTTTGTCATCCAACTCACTGATCCAATCTTCTGTTTCATTGATCCAATCTTCTGCTTCATTGATCTTACTTTTGATTCCTTCTCCTCTGTGCTTAAGTTCAGAAATTGTATTGTTCATTTTCTATTGGGCTTTGCTGAAAGTTTCTATTTCCTTTTTCATGTTGATATAGTTTGTGGTGAGTACACTGTAGCTCCCCTGTAGTTTCTGGTAGCTCATTGTGAGCTCTTTGAATTTCCTGATAACCAGTGCTTTGTAGTCAATATCTCATAGTTGAGTTGCCTGTATTTCATCTAACATTCTTTCTGAGGCTTCCTCATTTTCTTTAATTTGTGGATTGTTTCTTTGTTTTCCCATTATTTGTGAGACTCTTCTTGTTAGTCACCTTCTTAAATTGGTCTGTTCTGACACCCTGGATTTATGGTGTGAACTTTTGTGGTAGAATACCTGTGAAATTCAGTGGTGCAGTTTCCTTCAGGTATCTTGATGTTCTCAGCTTCCACCTACTCCTGTGTGTGTGTATGTGCATGCGTGTGTGTGTGTGTGTGTGTGTGTGTGTGTGTGTGTGTGTGTGTGTGTGTTTGTTCAGTTGGTGCAGGAGGCGAAATGGTTTATGACAGCAGAAGACTACTTTATGATATTTACAGTCACAGTCAGTAGAGAAGAGACAGAATATCTTTAGGCTATATATAGTGTTAAGCATAATCTTCAACCCAAATTGCCACTTTTAAGAAAAGATGGACAAAAGATAAGTCTCTTGTTGGGGAGTGAAGGCTTGTGAGTTAGATCTAGAAAGCAGTGAGATTGTGGGGCAGTCAGATTTTGAGGTAAAGTGAGAGTAAAAAGAATAGCAAATAGGTGTAGTATGTGAGCAAATAGAGTTAATCACTACAGCAATAGCATTCAGGAACCTGTAAAGTGGGCTAAGATCTGGGAAATGGGTTGTGAAGTATTTACAGTTGTATAGAACATCTATTATTTATGATAATGTTAAAGCCACAATCATATGACAGACTCTATGTGATCTGTCTGAATAGGGGGTATAGAGCTTTGTGTAGTGTACCAAAGGAAAACAAGTGGCATAAAGTGTAGAGGATTAAAAATACACTGTGGAGGAAAGAACAGGGGAAACCTGTCAAATAATACAACATAACCAGCCAAGACTGAGAAGCCCATATAGAAAGAGGAGGAATACAAGGATACTATTAAAATAAAAAAAGAGTGGGAATAATAAAAAATTTAAAAATATGCAGCAACTCGTGGCTTCTCTGCTATAGCAAAGTAAAATTTGTCTCTCTGTGTCTACTGTTGAGATGCCCCCTCTTTGGGTCCCACTCTGGTTTTTTCGCTGTTCCCAGTTGTTTGTGTCTCTTGTGGGTAAAACAAAACAAAACAAAACAACAAGCAAACATACAAAAAAAGGCAGGAGAAGGGAGGCAAAAGTGATAAGTTAGGGAAGTAATGAAGAAGGACTAAAACAGGAAAAAAGAAAGGAGAGGAATCAAGTATTTAAAGATAAAGCAATAATAAAATTTTAAAATGTAAGATTACCTTAAAAAAAAGGAAAGAAAAAAAAACTTCCCTTGTTGGTTTCAAACTGTCTAAACCAGTTTTTCAGGTTGTAGCAGGACTTCTCTGTGGGCTGGGTGCAGGCCAGCACGCTCGCCAGTCAGGCCGCCAGACTGGGGTGCAGGCGCCTGTGCACCCACCAGGCTGCCTGGGTCTTGTGGGATCTGGCACGGTCCTTCCCAGTTCTGTGGCGGGACTCAAATGCTTCCACCCCTCCTCTCGATGGCTGCCAGGCTGGGTGGAAAGCAAGGCAAGCTGCTGTCCCAGGTGAGCACCTCAGTCCACTTTCCAAAAAAAACTTCTCCAGAAAGCCTGCCTCTCAGCCCAGCCCAATCCCCAGCCATACTGGTGATGACAGTGTACCTCTCAGTTCTCCCAGGCTGGTGACCACAGTCTGAAGTTGAACACAGCCCTTTGTCCTTGCTACCCTCTCTGTAAACTAAAGCAGACAGGTCTCTGCTCAGTATTTCTTAGTTTTGCTTAGATGGGGAGGGAGGGAGGTGATGTCCCAGATCTCTCCCAAGGACCTTACAGCAGGTCCAAGGCTCCCAAAGGGTCTGCCGTATACCCACCAGGTGCTGGCTCCCAAAGAGTCTGTGGCAGATGCCCCTGGCGCTGGTCGAAGACTGATGCCTCTGGACCCCTGACCTTGGAGGTGGCACCGAGGCCATCTGGCCGAGGGTGCCGCCCCCCCCCCCCCGCCCCACTGCCACTCTTGTCTTTACTCAGGTACCCGAGACCCCACTGACCTGCGGCTGTCTGGCTCTTCAGCGTCCCTCACAGTCTCTGGTGTCTTAATTTCATAAATGCCGAGGAACTGTTGGTTGATTGATCTGTTCCTCAGTATATCTTGCAGGATTTTCTCCCATGTATACAGGAGCTGGAATCCATTCCATCCTACTCCATCGCCATCTTCTCGGCCTCCTCCTCAGATTTCTAATATTAATTGGATTTCTAATTTATAGAACTGGTGGTTATTTTTCATATTTCCTGGTCAATATCAAGGAAAATTTTCTGTTTCCTGCTGTTTTTACTGTTACTTTCTAATATTCTGATAATTATAGAACCCATAGTATTAATTGGTCTGTTTGTGTAGTTTGATGATTTATCAAGAAGTTTCTCCTCATTTTACTTCCACTCCACACTTCATGATTTTTGTTAGTCTGTTGTGAACTCATCTTTCTTTTAAACACATATATGGGCAATTTTGCTAAGCCCACATTAAAGTATATCCTGCTTAGAAATACTTACTAGTGTTACTGTTAAATGTGTGAGAACACTGCAATTCAAGATTCTAAAATGTTAATGGCATGATCTTCCAAGTGTAAGTTCTGCTCCAAATTCCTGTGGTGACAGGCTATGGATAAAAACATTCAGGAACATTTATTTTGTTTTCTTCTCTTACAGAGGCAGGGAAGTAAGTATATTCAGTTTTTTTTATGTTTATTTCTTTTCAGCTTCTTCAGTTTTATTGCCAAAAAGCTAATACTGATATTGATGAGAAACATTATAACTTTAGGCTGAAGTCTGTAATTACCCTATATTTCATTTTCTTTGTTAAGTTTTGGCCATCGAAACTAGTAATGACCCAAGTCAAACATTACTGTAGAACTTTTATTTGTATGTAAACTTTTGTTAGGTTTTATCCTTTTAAGTATTTCTTACATCTTGACATCCTTACAATTTCTCTTAATATCTAACTAGAAAATTGAAGTTACATATACTAAATATTTAACCCAGAAGTTTTTGAAGTGGTACATTCAGTAACACTACTGATAAGTACAATTATGTAGTTTTCTAGTTTTACATTCAGATTTTTGTCTCTTGATTCTTTTGCATGGTGCTTCTAAAGCATGTCAGATAATGACACTATTTCTAATGGGTTTCCACTAAGCATCGAATAAAGTGAACATATTTTTATCATGTTAAAGATTTATTCATCTAAACTATTCTTTCAGCTTTTCTTTTTAATTTGGAATGGAGGTATAGTATAGTTCAGATAGTCTGAACAATTGTTAACTTTTTATTATACCACATTTTTGTTTAATTTGGCTACCTTTGTCTTCCCATATGAGTCTGGCTTAGTTTGTCTTTCTTTATCCAATACTCTGGCAAATCTCTAACCTTACAGGAATGTGAGACCAGTGGTTGGAACCTGAATGTAATGCCAGTGCTGGATCAATCTATCCTCTGCCACATCAAACCAGACATGTCAAGCATGAAGGTTCCCTGGCTATATGTGGGCATGGTATTCTCAGCATTTTTTTGGCATATTGAGGATCACTGCAGTTATTCCATTAACTACCTACACTGGTGAGCAGGACTCAAATGACTGGGATGAATGTGCCTCTATGTGCAAAGATATGTCCAGTCTTTACATGCCTCTTTTTTCCCTGATCAGGGGTAAGCCAAAGACCTGCTATGGGATGCTGTCACTGGCAGCAGAACATTTGGAGGAAGTGATGAAGAAGCTGACACCTGAGCTCTTTGATAGCCAACCTGACCTTCTACACCAGCTTGTTACCCTCATGAATCTCAATGCTCTCATGTTCAATGGTGTTCCAGTGAGTACCTGAAATTAAGGTGGGGAGGGTATTTAATCTTGCCCTAGGATGAAGAGGGGATGAGGAAGAATTTAGTTTTGAGAATTCAAAAGTTATATCCATTTTGATGTGGAAACTGCATTTACTCACATCTCTTTTCCTTTCTGTGCTAATTGTCAAATGGCCATCCAACACAATTCAGTAAATATGAAGAGAAAGGACAGAATAGATAGTTTTTTATAACTTAAAGCTGAAACCAGGATTTTGTCCCTTTAATTTGCCTTCTAGTCTTGGTCTTCCTTTAATATTACATTGTGTAAATTCTAATTCTGTAAAGCCATGAGGAACATAGAAGTGGTTTTCTACTAGGGAATTTCCAGGATTAATTTACTGGCATATCTGCCATGATTACAAAATAAAAAGACTAAGCCCTAATATGTAGCAGATAACTAGCACACACTATTGTCTGCAACATGTTACACTTCTAAGAAGTGTAAGGTATGGGTTAACCTTGTACAACTTCTTACCACTTTTATTTCTTTTCTCTCAGATTTTTCATCTCTACAAAATGGACTTGGTTTCTGCATGGTGCTCTTTCATTTCTGAAATTTTATCGGTGTTTATTTGCATTTCTAACTATTTTTCTAACATCACTACTATCTCAAAAAAGCTTAAATATGAGGGATGCTGGGAAGATGGCGACGGAGTAAGATGGAGCGGATACTAGCTCCTGTACTCATGGGTGAAAATCCTGGCAGATCTATGGAGAAACAGCACAATAAACCATCGGTTACCCAGCATTTATGAAATTAAAAGACCAGAGATTGTGACCGACGCTGAATCACCAGACGGCGGCAGAGTCAGCTACTGGAGCTGGGTCTCACGCGGCCCCTGTGCTGCCGCCAGAGCAACAGGCCTGGGAGCCGGGGCGTCAGGTATGGAAGCCGGACACTCCAAGCCCCTGTGACGGTCCTGGGAGACAGAGGAGTCAGGAACCGGAGCGGGGACACCCTTGTGCCGATGCCATAGCTACTGGCCTGGGCAACGGAAGGGTCAGTTGCAGGAGCTGGGACACCAAAGGCCCCTGTGACGCCGCCATAGAGACAGGCCTGGACCCTGAGGAGCCAGCTACGGGAGCCGGGAAGCTCTCAAATCTTGTGCCGCTGCCATAGCCACGAGACTGGACGCCGGGGAGCCAGGTACGGAAGCCTGGACTCTCCAAACCCCTGTGACGCAGCAGAGGAGCCAGCTACGGAAGCCGGGAAGCTCTCAAATCCTGGGCCGCTGCCATAGCCACGGGACTGGACGCCGGCGAGTCAGGTACGGAAGCCGGGACACTCAAAACCCCTGAGACAGCCCGCGGTGGCAGAGGATCCCTCTACGGGAACTGGGAGGGTCACAGGCCCTGTGCTGCTGCCATAGCGAGGGGATTGGACACTGGGGAATCAGGTACGGGAGTTGGGACTTTCTAAGCCTCTGTGCCACTGCCATAGAGACAGGACTAGACGCCGGGGAGTCAGGTACGGAAACCGGGACACTCCAAGCCCCTGTGACGGCCCTGGGCGGCAGAGAGAGCCAGATACGGGAGCCAGGACATTCTCGGCCTCTGTGCCACTGCCCTAGTAATGGGCCTGGGTGCTTGAGGAGGCGCCTACTAGAGCCGGGACATTCAGCAGTGGTAGGCGACCAACGCAGAGACCAGTGCGAGGACCAGCGTGAGTGTAGGTGGAGACGAAGAACATCAAGAAACTTCAAGGAGTCTGTACCACTGAACTTCACAAGGAACATACCACAGAAGTTTACACCATAAAACCAGTGTTTCAGAACAGATCAATTTTAGAAGCAGAGACTAAAAAGAAGAGTCTCAAACAATGGGAAGACAAAGAAACAATCCCCAAATGAAAGAAAAAGCAGAAACTTCAGAAAGAATGTTAGATGAAATAGACGCTGATCAACTATCAGACAGTGAATTCAAAGCACTGGTTATTGCAAAGTTCAAAGAGCTCACAGTGAGCTACCAGAAACTACAGGGGAATTATAATGATCTCTCTGCAAACTACAGCAACATCAAAAAGGAAATGGAAACCATCAGCAAGAGACAAGAGGAAATGAAGAATACAATTTCCGAATTGAAGTACACAGTAGAAAGTTTCCAAAGTAGGATAGATGAAGCGGAGGATAGGATTAGTGAGTTGGAGGACAGGGTAGAAAGCATCTCACAGAAAGAGCAAGAAAATGAAAAGAGGCTCAGAAAGAATGAAGAGGGATTAAGAGAAATGCAAGACAATATGAAACGTAACAATATACGAATAATTGGAATACCAGAAGGAGAAGAAGAAGAACAAGGGATAGAAAATGTATTTGAATGAGTAATGAGAGAAAATTTTCCTAATTTGATAAGAGAAAAAGTCTCACAAATCCAGGAATCACAGAGAGTCCCAACCAAGAGGAACCCAAAAAGGCCCACCTCAAGACACATCATCATCAAAATGGCAAAATTCCAAGACAAAGAGAGAATCTTAAAGGCAGCAGGGAGAAAAAAGAAATAACATACAAGGGAGCCCCAATAAGGTTAGCTACCGACTTCTCAATGGAAACACTTCAAGCAAGAAGAGAATGGCAAGAAATATTTCAAGTAATGAGAACCAGAGGCCTACAACCAAGGCCACTTTACCTAGCAAGGCTCTCAATCAAGATAGAAGGCCAAATAGAGAGCTTCCAAGACAAAAGAAGTCTAAAAGAATATGCCTCCACCAAACCAGCTCTACAAGAAATACTAAAAGGACTGCTTTGAGGGAAAGAAGGATAAGAGGGAGACAGAGAGGAACACAGGTACAAAAATGGCAATGAATAAGTACCTATCAATAATAACCTTAAACGTAAATGGATTAAATTCTCCAATCAAAAGACACAGAATAGCTCAATGGATAAGAAAGCATGACCCACACATATGCTGCCTACGAGAGACTCACCTCAGGACAAAAGACCATTAGAGACTAAAAGTGAAAGGCTGGAAACAAGTTTTCCAAGCAAACGGACAAGAAAAAAAAGCTGGGGTAGCAATTCTCATATCAGACAAAATAGACTTCAGAAAAAAGGCTGTAAACAGAGACCCAGAAGGTCACTTCATAATACTCAAGGGAAGAATCCACCAAGAAGACATTAACATTGTAAACATATATACACCAAACATAGGGGCACCCAAATATATCAAGAAAATCTTGGAGGACTTCAAGAAAGATATTGACAGCAAGACAATCATAGTAGGGGATTTGAACACCCCACTATCAAAAATGGACAGATCTTCCAAACAAATTATCAAAAAAGATATTGTGGCATTAAACAACACCCTAGATGAAATGGACTTAACTGATATATATAGAGCCCTTCATCCCAAAGAAGCTAAATACACATTCTTTTCAAATGTACATGGAACATTCTCAAAGATAGACCACATGATAGGACACAAAAGGAGCCTCAACAAATTCAAGAAAATTGAAATCATACCAAGCATCTTCTCTGACCACAAGGCACTGAAATTAGAAACCAACCCCAAAGAAAAAAACCCAAAGCACCCAAAAACATGGAGACTGAATGGTATGCTATTAAACAATGAATGGGTCAAGAATGAAATTAGGGAAGAAATCAAAACATTTCTGGAAACAAATGAAAATGATCGCACAACAACCCAAAACTTATGGGATACAGCCAAGGCAGTCCTGAGAGGGAAGTTTATAGCAATACAGGCCTACCTAAAGAAGATAGAAACATTTCAAACAAACAACCTAACCCTACGCCTGCAAGAACTTGAGGAACAACAACAAAGACAGCCCAGAGCAAGCAGAAGGAAGGAAATAACCAAGATTAGAGCAGAATTAAATGACATAGAAACTAAAAGCACAATTTTAAGGATCAATGAATCCAGGAGTTGGTTCTTTGAGAAGATAAACAAAATAGACAAGCCTTTAAGTAGGCTCCTCAAGAAAAGAAGAGAGAGGACACAAATAAACACAATCAGAAATGAAAAAGGAGAGATTACAACTGATACCACAGAAAGAGAAGAGATTGTAAGAAATTACTATGAAGAACTGTATGCCAAGAAATTTGAAAACCTAGGGGAAATGGACACATTTCTAGAAAAATACAATCTTCCAAAACTCAGTGAAAAAGAAGCAGAAAATCTAAATACACCAATAACAGCACATGAAATCGAAGCAGTAATCAAAAAACTCCCATCACACAAAAGCCCCGGACCAGATGGTTTCACAGGAGAATTCTACAAAGCATTTAAGGAAGAGCTAACCCCTATTCTCCACAGACTATTTCAAAAAATTCAGAAGGACGGAAAACTCCCAAATTCTTTTTATGAAGCCAGCATCATCCTAATTCCAAAACAAGATAGAGACACAACAAAGAAAGAAAACTTCAGGCCAATATCGCTGATAAAAATAGACACTAAAATCCTCAACAAAATATTGGCAAATCACATCCAACAATATATCAAAAAGATCATACACCATGATCAAGTAGGATTCATCCCAGGAATGCAAGGATGGTTCAATATTCGCAAATCAGTAAATGTAATACATCACATAAACAAAAGCAAAGACAAAAATCACATGATCATATCAATAGATGCAGAAAAAAGCTTTCGATAAGGTACAACACCCATTTATGATAAAAACACTCAGCAAAGTGGGAATACAAGGAGCATTTCTCAAAATAATAAAGGCCATATATGAGAGACCTACAGCCAATATCATACTCAATGGGAAAAAACTAAAAGCTTTTCCACTAAGATCAGGAACAAGACAAGGTTGTCCACTTTCACCACTTCTATTCAATATAGTATTGGAAGTTTTAGCCACAGCAATGAGGCAAGAAAAGGAAATAAAAGGCATCCAAATAGGAAAGGAGGAAACAAAACTGTCACTGTTTGCAGATGACATGATAGTGTACATGGAAAATCCTATAGACTCTACCCAAAAACTCCTCAAACTAATTGATGAGTTTGGCAAAAC